CCCCCCCCTCCCCAGCTCACATTTCTCTCTTTCGGCCTCTAGAAGCTGCTCTGGCTGCTCTATGACCTGGGACATCTGGAAAGGTCAGTAGGGGGAAGTGGCCAGGCTGGGCCTTCGGGGCCAGGTGGCGAGGTGGAGCCTGGACTCATGAACTTTTCCCAGGTACCCCATGGCGCTGGGGAACCTGGCAGATCTGGAGGAGCTGGAGCCCACCCCTGGCCGGCCAGACCCACTCACCCTTTACCACAAGGTGGGGATATCTCGGGAGGGTACAGAAGGGAGACCCAATAGTGGCTGGGGTTCCCTTCTACCTGGGAATTGGGAGGAGGCACATGAGAGAAGAACTTGGTGTGTATTGGGCGTTACCACCCGTTTTGTATTTACCATGTACATATCCAGTGCTGTCTGCCTCATTGTCCCTCCTGGAGTGTAACAGATGTCAAATGTGGGAGCATTGAGGAGGGGGTGTTAACTTGGTGGGAGTGGAGGTAGAAGGGACATTGGGCTGGGCTTGGAAGGCTTTGGTGTTTGTGTAGGAGTGTGTGGGAAAGCCTGGGAAAGGGAATGCCCTGAGCTTGGAGGATGGACCCCTCCCCTTCCCTAGGCTTTGTTCTGCATTCTGGCCCAGGCCTCACCAAGCAGCCTTGCAGACATGGGAGGAGCCAATGGTAGAGTGGATGGCAGGGGGTAGAGGTGGAACTGGAGATGGGACTCTGGGCTCTTGGCTATTTCGCATTCTGGGTGTGATCTGATGGGACATTCCTGCCAAACGGTACAGCTGGGGGTTGCCTCCCTGAGGGCCCTCTGCTCTATCCCTAGGGCATTGCCTCAGCCAAGACTTACTACCGGGATGAGCACATCTACCCCTACATGTACCTGGCTGGCTACCACTGTCGCAACCGCAATGTTCGTGAAGCCCTGCAGGCCTGGGCCGACACGGCCACTGTCATCCAGGAGTGAGGATCCTTCACCCCCGACCTGTCCCACTAGGGCCTTAGTCCATCCTTTCTTCCTCTTTCGCCCAATTTCCACTCATCCTTATCCAGGAGTGAGGCCTGGGTCCCAAGCCCCCTCCCTTCCTCTAGTCTGGGCAGCCAAGGCTACCATCACCCAGGAGGTGGGGATCCCTAATGAGAGCCCCACGCCTTTCCCTCCCTCCCCTCTCCTCCTAATTGCCAGCCACCATCATCCAGCAGTAAACCCTGCACCCCCTGCCCATGCCCCCCTCCTCACTCTGGCTCTGGGCTGATACAGACACCGTGATTTCGGAGTGAGGGCCCCAACCACTCACCCAGTCCCTAGATGATCAAAGGAAAAGAAGGGCTCCATTCATCCCCCCCCCCCCCCCCCCCCCCCAACCACTCACCCAGTCCCTAGATGATCAAAGGAAAAGAAGCCTGGGCTCCATTCCCCCCCCCCACCCCATCCCCCGGCCCCGGGGTTCCCAGCATGGTCGAAGCCCCACGGTGCCCTCCTGCTCCCACAGCTACAACTACTGCCGGGAAGACGAGGAAATCTACAAGGAGTTCTTTGAAGTAGCCAATGATGTCATCCCCAACCTGCTGAAGGAGGCAGCTAGCCTGCTGGAGGCTGGCGAGGAGCGGCCGGGGGAGCAGACCCAGGTGAAGGGCTCCCCCTGTGCCCACCTTCCCACCTGGTCAGGGCTCCGAGTCACAGGACATGGGACTGCTGCCCACGGCGGGGGCTGAGTGAGGAAGGTGGCCCAGCACACAGAGCAGCCAGGGTTTGAGGGAGCTGAGGGTATCTTGGGGGTTTCTACCCCATTCCTTCAGGTAAATGGGGTGAAGCCCATCTCTTTCATGCCAAGACTTCGTATTCAGTTGAGGGGGGTGGGATGGAGGTAAGGGGCGGTTCCCTCTTTTCTCTGAGTCCTGGCTGAGAACTGGTTCTATAACAGGAAGGCGGCTCTGAGAATTCTCCCCCGATGCTCACCTCTTAGGGAGCCAGGCCTCTGCTTAGATGAGCGGCTTGGCCGAGCCTCTGATACAGGGTGTAAGGGGTTCTCAAATGTGCCTGCTTTCCCTCTTGCCCAGGGCACCCAGAGCCAGGGCTCTGCCCTCCAGGACCCAGAGTGCTTTGCCCATCTGCTCCGGTTCTACGATGGCATCTGCAAATGGGAAGAAGGCAGCCCCACGCCCGTGCTGCACGTGGGCTGGGCCACCTTCCTTGTGCAGTCCCTGGGGCGTTTCGAAGGACAGGTGAGGGCAGCTGTGCAGGGGTCTGAGGAGGACGGGTGGTGACCGCAGCTGCAGAGGAGCCAGAGCCTGGGCGGCCCTGAAGGGGATCTGCTCATCCTCTGGGTGCATGCGACAGGCCTCAACCTGCTGGCCGAGGCTGGGTCCTGGGGATCCAGCCACTGGGTTGCAACCTTGCCCTCAGCTCGCTCTCCCTACCCGGCCCAGGTGCGGCAGAAGGTGCGGATAGTGAGCCGGGAGTCAGAGGCCGCCGAGGCCGAGGAGCCCTGGGGCGAGGAAGCCCGGGAAGGCTGG